TTCTCTTTTCCAATCCCTTATCTGAGGATTGGAGGGCAGTAGCTCGGCACAAATACCAGAGCATCACAGGTTTGCTGGTGCTCACATACTCCATCTCACAGGTATCAAAGTAAACAGTCCCTCAAGAGAAATCTTAAGTGGAGGCTGACGTCAAACTGGACCTCGGTGCTTCGCTCTATTCCACCTGCCTGCAGCTCCCTTAGGAAGCTTTACCCATATTTAAAGCAGAAGCTGCTCTGTACACATTGGCTTTGCTAGCCCAACTAAGAAGCCTGTTATACTTGGGCAAATGGTGTGTAACACAGGTAGAAACCAAGGCTGTAAGATGATCCTTGAGAAGCTGCAGAATTCACCCAGTGTGCAGCTCAGGTGTCCTATCACCACCACAGGGAAAAAATAAACACTCTAATACCTGTAAACCAAAGATACCATCCTGTTATGCAAAAAGCTTGTAGAACTGGGGTTTTACAACACATTTGGTTACAAACAACAGGATCTTGTCACTCAGTCTGAAGGGTCAGGAACTAAAGAAACCAACCATAACTTTTACTATCTTCCACCCAAAGTTATGATATTGCAAAAAGCATTGGAAAAGTCTGGAAAAACCAGCATGCATGATGAATGGAGAAAACAGACACTAGTTTGACAGCACCAACCCAACCAATGAGTTCTGCAACACTAATTATATCCTGCCCAGAGCCTCACCAAAACCCTTCTTCGAAAAGAGATCTTACAGCCACTTCAGTAACATGATCTCATAAGAAGTGCACTGAAAAGGACTGGCTGTGAGACTAGACCAGGGAAGATAAAGCAAACAGAGATAGGCCTCAGCTTTTTCTAATCAGAAAATTCATCCATCCTTGAGATTCTGCTTGAAAGAAATCTGTTACCAACACAACGGTACCTTCAGCAGGGCAACGATGGTTTCACTGGCAAGTAAACATGTGGAGCATGGTGTCCTGTTTCACCTCCTCCCTGCCCCATGTAGATTATCCGATATCCAGCAATACAGTGTGAGCTCATACTGGAACCATCTGCACATGAGGGGCATTAATTCAGCTCTCCCTTTCTCTCCATTGCCTGCTTTCCAGCAACACCTGGACACAAAGTACCTCTGAGAGTCTATCTGTCACATAAGCCTTATCTTCTTGATAAAGTATGAAGTGCTTTCCTAGGGAGTTCTCCAGGAGGAAAAAAAAAAAAAGTTAAATCAGATCAGCAAAAGAACATCTGTAGCTTGTCAGGCTTTATCACTCCTTGTACTTCTCTAGTACCACAAGGCTCACAGCTGCCAAACCATCCTAACCCCACTCAAAACTAAGTGAAAACCATAAAAGCTTTGAACAAAGATCCTAAGGGAAAAAATAATCAATATGGATTTTCCCTCCTCCTAGACAGGTGACTGTGATGGTTCTTTCTCAACGAGAGAACTTTTTCCATCTACTGTTTTTTGCTTGAAGCCTGCCTCCCTATGTGCAGAGGTTCCACAGAGCAGACAGCTCCTTTTTCAGTTGAATCCTGAAGACATTTGCATTTAAATTTAGCTTAATGTTCTCGGTTGCCATTCTGTAGAACAGATTCCCACCTGCTTCAAAACAGCTGAGATTTCACTCCAGGTGTTGTCACCTGCCATGCTACAGCTACTGGCAGCTTCAAAAAAAAAAAAAAGTCTCATCAGAACAAGCTCAAAATGCAAGCCATGCCTTCTGCAAACTGTGTTTGTGGGGGGAGAGGAGGTGGGAAGTAGCACAGGCAGAGCCCAGAAAGGATTGTTACATGACACAAATTAATCGGGAAAAAAAAAAAAAAAAGAATTGGGAAACCACAGCCAAAAAGCACTGCCAAAATTACTCCTCTGCCTTCCTTTTCAAGGCCAACATCCTTGGTTATTTTTCAGTGCTGGGTCACAAATACTTTAGTGAAACCTCTGGTTTAGTGGCATAGAAACGCTTTTTTTGCACTGAAGCACACTTTACAGAAAGTGATCCAGATCTTCCATTTGGTCCAAATGAAAAGAGCAAGAGACCACTGCTCTAATCACAGCAGCTCCCAGACAAAGCCTAGAAAGGGAAATGTAAACTCATTCCTTTCTACTCCACACACACACAAAAAAAAACCAAAAAGCTCCTGAGGAGAACTCCCTTTCCAACACCAAGTTTACAGTTTGTCTCCTGAGAAGTGCCTGTTCTCCAGGCAATTCACATCCCCCAGTCCCAGACCCGATCCTCTCTTTCCACTCTGAATCCCTGGGATGAGGATTCGGCCAGACAAGGAACAAAACCCCACCCTATGAGCTCAGCCCACTCCTAGTATCTCCCAGAGGTTCCTCACACCAGAGCTGCCCTGTAGCACCAAGGTGCTGCTTCATTTTGCTTAAAGCAGAAACTCACAGGTACGCAGATTGATACCCTCAAAAACAGGAGACTCTTCAAACCAAATGAGAACTGTGCGAGCGTGAAAGATTTTTAAAATTTCCAGAATAGAAGATAAAAATGATGACATGGGAACAAATTCTGAGATTCCAGACGTAAAATAACAACTTTCAAACCTTTATTGTCAAATGCTCAATGGCAGAGTTTAAAGAGCGTGCAAACACGAGCCTCTCCCCAAATACGACGACAATGGAGGCGTTACAATTTTACCCCATTTTACAGATGTTGAGAACCTACAAAAGGCTCCGAGCTCAAAGATAAGGTCTGCTTCAGCAAACTGTGGGATGACAAAGTGCAGCTTACAGCCTAAATCTCCCAGCTGCTGAAAAGGACGATATGTTTGCAATAGTAGCATGGGTCCTTTCTGCTAGATGGGTTCCTTTCAGAGACATCAACTTCCTCCATACGTTTCACCGGACAACAGGAAGACTATTGCTAAGCATTACACTTCAGGCTACTCTTGAATAGAGAAGAGGGATTAAAAGTGTGCACAGACCATTTGCAAACAGCACAGTCAACCATTCTGCCCCATATTTCCTGCTGAACTGAGAAAGCGCCTTCCAAAAATAGCCAATAGTTTTGCTGAAAGGCTCAAAACAAACAGTACTTCTGAAGGAATATCTTACATACTTTACATAATAGCCATCTCAGAAGGGAAAAAAGGATGTGTACAGTGTTCCAGTGTGAATTCTGTGTTGAACAAAAAGACATCATTCTTCGCTTAACACAAGGCTTAAATTCACCATGAAGGAAATTGCTGAAGTTAAAGCCTTTGGGCTCTAGCTGGGAGGGAGACATCCCTCTGAAGGAAACCATTTTTATCCTAAATTGAAGTTGAAAGAGGATACGTAAAAGGAACCCTGTCAACTTGTTTAAGCCTCAATTTGTGTTTGCCTCAAAAAAGGAAAGTTCAATCTCATTCAGCTTCTACCAGAAAAATCCAAAACATCTTTAAGCACTTGGATTGTTGGGCACCCAGGTACACCTATACAGGCTTCTACTTAAGGACTTTTTTTGTTTTTGCTTTAAAACCTGGTCCTTATCCCTAGACATATGGTTTACCCTTCCTGTTAAACAGTATGCCTACTTTAAAAGGAAATGACATAATAGTAACACCGGTATCACACTATAACTGCTGTCTTCTCTCCCATTCAGCAGTAGCTTTCCTCAAAAGCTAGAAATCTACACCCATGTGCTTGCTCGGTGACACTCTGCCCCTTCAAGACAAAGGTGAAACTCCACAAAAGAGGAATTGTTACAAGCAAAGCAACAGCAGCATGAAGGGGGCAAAGTCTGTGATCAATGCCTTTTATTCTTTCTGAGAGCCAGGAGAGAGAAGTTGCACTGTTTGTACTAGGATAATAACAGCTAAAGGGCCTAGAAATTGTGTTCACTTATTAAGTTCTTTATTGTTTGCTTTCCTTTCCTCCTCGAAGGGAAACTAGCTGTCTGTTTTTTGTGTAAAGCAATAAAAAACTGATTTCAAATCGTGCAAATTCCCTACAAGACACAGCTGTGCTCTCGATTCTTACTGTCATTCCCATATCCCACGTCACCATGGGAGAGAGCAAGCACGGGAAAGAGCTACACGTCCTGGTGGGAGCACTTGTGGAACGTTCTTCCCCTGAGGAAGGAACCTGCACGTTAGGAGCAGGGAATGGCCCGGCAGCCAAGCTTGGCTCAAGCTGCACCAGTAAGCACTCCATCAGCAGGCCAGGAGCTCAGCCTGCATCACCCACCTTAAGATTAGCTCAAAATACGGTTGCCATCTGGTGGCTAGCAGGGAAGGAATACGGCAGGTCTGCTGTCGGCGCCAGGAGCTGCGACAGGGAAAGCCGCAGGGAAAACCGCGCTCCGAGCAGCGCAGGGAGGGAAGCAGGAGCTGCAGCACGCGTGCTCCGCAGCTCCCAGGCTGCCGGTCCCGGCCAACGAGCCCGGGGCAGCGACAACGTTAGGCCCTACGGGTCCGGGCTCCGCTGTGATCCCGCGGCGTTTTGTAATACCGTCGGGGCCGAGGCCAGCGCAGCACCCACCCCCAGACCGCCAGGATTAAACCCGGTGCTAAAGATAACCGCAGGGAACACGAGCGGAGCTCTGATCCGCTCACCCTCCGCCCTCGGACGCGCACCCGTCCTTATTCAGTCAATGTCACCCCGCGGCGGTGGGCTGACAGCGGCTGACGGAGCGGCCGAGCCGCGGCCCTGCGCGAAGCTGCACGGCCCAGGGCACGGACCCGGGCATCGCGTGCCGCCGGCACAGGGAGCACAGAGCTGTCCTCCCGTCACCGCAGCAATCCGCCGCTTCGGCTGCAGCCGCTCCGAGAGCTGCACTGAAAGGCGAGCGGCCGCACCGAGCCTCCGGGAGACCATAAGGAAGCGGCGCCCGTCCCCTTCGCTCGGTGCCTCCGAGGTTACGTTCGCAACGCCACAGAACGCAGCGGCGCTCGCTAAGCGCGCAGCCGGCTCTGCCTCTCCTCCGGCAGCGCCCGCGTCGCCTCCCGTCGGTGCTCAGCCCGGGCCGCGAGCGACGGCAACCCGGCCCCGCGCATCCCCACCCCCGCCCCCTCACCTTCTCCTGCGCCCGGGTGAGCTTCTTCTGGACGTTGCTGGCGATCTTGCCGGCCGTCACCCCCTTGCTGCCCAGCTCGGCCATCTTGCCTGCTCTTTTAACGGGCGGCTGCGAGAGCCGGGCCGGCGGGAAGGGGGGGAAAACCCGGCGGGAGACAATGGCCCCGGCCGCCGCCGCCCGCCCCACGGCGCCGCCTTTTAAAGGGACAGAGCGCCGCGCCGCCTTAAAGGGGCCGCGCCGCCCCGGGAGGGGGCAGCAGTGGCACTGCCCGCAGGAAGCCTTCCTTAATAGTACCATTGCAGAGGGCTGCGCGGTAGCGAGTGATCTTAGATGATGGTGTGATCTGGGTGCTATCTTTCCTCCTGCTTTAAGAGATTTGAACCACTGATAGGTCATACATATAAAATCTGTAACGCTGCATCAATACTTTTCAAATTATTCCTGGACCTAAAGTGAGAAATTTACATTCTTGGGGATGGGGATTGTAACGAATCAAGGCTCTGATTTAAAAGCAAGCTGAAATGTCAGCAGTTTTCATTCCATACTTTTAGCTGCCCACTGTGGCACACAGGTAAATGCCCTCACCTAGCTCTTATCTCTTTGAAAAGCAGGGAAAAAAATATCAACTGACAGAGTGTTCACAGGAATAATGGGATGGCTGATTGGTTTGCACGGAAGTCAGGCATAAGCTGCTAGCACAGCACAACCAATCTCCTCTATTTTCACTTGTGCACAATAATTTGGATTCAGCATAGCTGAATGGTGGTTCATTGCTCCCATCAGGGAGTAACGCTGATGTCAAGCACCATCACAGAAGATGCTGCACACGTACTAGAAGAAACCAACTGGGGCTGCACAGCGCTTTGCACACCTAACTTCCCTGGAATTCTCAGTGCCTTTGCCCACATGGTTTTGTTCTGTAGCTGTGACCAGTATTTTAGCACTGACCCAGGTGTGCACCCTGCCTCCTGTCTGCCCTTGACCCCTGCCCTGCACTCCTGACTGCACAGCACACACTGCAGCTGTGCCACAGCCTTCATCCAGCCAGGCCTCCATCTTGCTCTCCTATACCCACCCAATGTGCAAATACATTTTGTGAAACTGCTCCTTCACAACATAGGACAAAGTTCTGCTTCCTGAAAAATGGGAATCCTAACATTCAGCCCCAAAGTTCCCTCCAGTTCCTCTCACTGGGGCTTGATCAGGTTCCTTCCTAGCTGCTTCTGTACACTGGTCTTACTGCTATATGAACGCAGCACCCAGCACATCAGCCAAAACACTTGAGAGACAATTCACATACACATTAAGATGGAGATGTGCATCTCTTACACTTAATTTAATAGAAAGATGGTAGTAAAACTGACCTGTGTTTCAAGATGACTTCAGAGTCTTTATTTTGCCAGATGAAAAAAGCTACCTCCAGAATTTCATGCACACAGGGAATTAGTCCAGTACTCACTGTTGCAATCTGAAACAAAAGAAAAACAATGACAGTGACTACTTGAGAGAGCCAAGCCAGATTATTCAAGTTGTATTTTACTTATTGTTTCCCATATCTGCTTCAGTACTATTTCCACTCATTCATAACTTGAAATAAAAACAACTGTTTTGCCAGAGCTCTTAGAAACTGCAAGTAAAGAACTCACCAACATTCCTTTGTGAGTCTTCATGGTAGAGTACCTCTGCATTTCATGCCTCTCACGACAATGGCTTTTAAAAAAAAAAAAAATTCAGAAACTTGCTTAAATCCATGCTGTACCTCAGTTATGTTAGAAGGATGCCACTCAGAAACATGCCACAGAATGGCTGAGGTTGGAAGGGACCTTAGAGACCATCCAGTTTCAACTCCCTGTCATGGACAGAGCTCCCACCCACCAGGTGAAGCTGCCCAGAGCCCCATCCAACCAGGCCATACCCATGTATCATCTGAAAACACAATGAGATTTTCTTTGTTTCTTACTCCTCTCAGAACTCTTCCTCTCCAACCAAAATTTTAAGAGAATGATGTGGTTAAGTATTTGTCACATCAAATATAAATTAGCAGATGCTTCAGGGACAGAATACGTTCCTCTGCATCCTACCTCACCTCACATACTTGCTTCTCCTGTCTGTGTCCTCTCTTCAGTAACACTGTTTCTGAAGGATTTTTGTTTATGATCTTTCAAGTGAAAAGAGGTTGAGTCTGCAGCACATAAGCTGAAAAGAGAGTCCATAGAAAATATCAGACAATTGTGAAACAAAGGTGGCCAGACAATCATATTCACCACAATGAAAACTGATGACAAACCCAGTACATTTTTAAAGCTAGGATTAACAGCAAGCATCCATTTCACAGCATGAGTCATTTCCCAGTTGTTCCTGTGCTTGATTGGATCAGCACTACAGCTGCAAAGCCTTTGTCAGGCTCCAGGTGTGGCACAAGATGTAATCCCCTACCGTGATGCAGTTGAACACCACCATAGTAGAACAGGCCAAGCATTTGAATTAAATTTATATAAGCCATTTTTAACCAGCTGATATATGCTGAAATATTTTGTTTTGCGGTCAGTGTTTTGTTTTCAGTCTCATATCCATCCACCATTGTCTGATCTCATCTTTATAAGTTAGATTCTGCACAAATGGAGTTTAAAGGCATAGAACTTCATACATTCAGCTTCTGCAATGAGATTCATTAAATTAGACAACTACGCATGCATCAAACCTAATTTGATACCCTTCATTTCTCCTAACTGTAACCAGCTGAACATGTCTAGACTGATTTAAGCTGAGGTCAGATAGGCATCAATAGTCACCTGAGAAATCAGTGCTTCCAAAGCACCAGTCAAACAGATAAAACATCTTCCAGCAATGTCTCCCACCCCCTTAGCTAGAGAGGGAGATTAGATAAATAGTTTAGATAGCTGAAATCAAGAAAGCCAGATGGGTTATGAAACCTGCCTGTAGTCCATCTCCTGGGTGACAGTATGACTCACATAGTTCACAAGAAAGAAAAGTATGACAAACACAACACCACAGTGCACATTTTTACAGGATATACCTAACAGTTGTTGGGTTTTATTGTTTGTTTTTTGTTTTGTGTGTTCTAAATTGATTAAGTATTCTAATCAATCTATGCCACATTAGTGCATTTCACTTCTCACTCATCAAAGACGGATGAGCTGCTCATCTGTTTACAGTTAAGCATATGTTTAAGTGCTTTGTGGGTTGGATTCTATCACTTTGTAGCTCAGATAAAATTTAGTGCCTTCATGGCACAAATTTTCACTTTTTTTTTAATTCTTGTTTTTGCCCAATCTGTCCATCTAGGAGCAGAATGTTTTTTGGAATCATTCCTAAATATAAATTGGTGTAAAATATTTTCTAAAGATTGATTTCAGCAATACATCTTTCAGCATCTCTGACTTGAACCCTTTAATTGCAGCTTGCACATTTAGAGCTACAAGCTGTGATAATCAGAATCTATCTGCTTCCCCTGCTGTTGGTGGCAACACCCTTAATATAGAATCAGTTCATTTCAATGACAGATTTTTGAATTGACTGTTTAGTGGTTTCTAACATTCATACAACTAAATGCATGTGTTTCTTGTTTCTTGTTTAAATAATTCCAAGTAAATGTAACGCATTATAGGTCTATAAGTATCATGATTCTTTGTTAATATTCAAAGCTGAGGCTCACCTTTACCCCAAAGACTGGCTGCTTGGAGCCGTGGTATTATTTTGGTCTGACTCTGGCCATAACACTAAAAGTCAGATGGCCTGAGTGCCAGCAGCACTTTCTTGCTTTATGATGTCAGTTGTGGGATTTATTTAAAATGCTACATCCAAGCCCTCAAAAACAAGAAATAACACAAGGTACACTAGGTAGCAAAATATCATCAACTTAAAGCAATCTTGCTCTTAAGCAACTTCTTTACTTCCTTCTTTCCATTTACAATCATGAGCTTTTCTGGGACAACATTCAGAAAGAGCTAGCAGACCTAACTTCTATCTTTGCATTTAACTTGATAAGATCATTTGCCAAGGGTAATTCAGAAATCACTTCCACCATTTCTTGGTTTGTCCTAGCATTGCTTTTTGACTGACTGTATTCTTAGGCAAACTCTTCCATTATTCTCTTGCAGGAAGATGGTGGGAAGGATTAGGAATTTTCTGCCCTAATACAAGGCTTTGCTGATTATGCTTTCTACTCCTTAAAACAAAACCAAGATGAAACTATTTTGATTTTAAAATAGTGTCTAGAAGCTGTTCTCTCCCACAGCTTTCAAACTCACAACTAGTTGATTTCTCTTCACTGTTAACAAGGATGAGAAAGAGAAGATGATGCTTAAGCAGCTCTTCTTGTATCCAAAACACAAAAAGTTATCTACTGCTACTGCAGGAAGAGCTCCAAACTCAGCTCAGAATTCTGAGATTTCATCTACATATTAGTAAACTATCTAAGAAATAGAAATTAATAGATCATTCTACATATTCCTATGTCAGTTTACAACTGTAGTAGAATACATAGCCTACCTCATACAATCTCACAAAAGATATCACCAGCACAAAACACCAGAGAAATACAGAAATATTTTTAAGAAACACACCTCCATGAGGTTCACATTGGTGATAGCTACACTACATAGACCTATAAAATGGTAACACACAATGCAGCTGCATTGCCTTCTTCCCTGCTTCCCTTTACTGACAGCCTCAATTAATTTCCTTGGCAACAAAACTGAGCAACTCCTTCACTACAAAGAACTTATGAGCACTGTATCATCAGCACTGGCATATGCCTAGAAAATCAAGAGAGATGCATTGGCAGTTCTGAGGAGAAACAGCCATCAAAATGGCTTCTAACGTGAATAACTCTTTGCTATTCCACTCTGGAGTCTAACCTAAACTCTAAATATTTTACTTAATTGCTGCCAATACGTAGCTGTTTCTGAATTTGGTCAAGAAAATTTTCTTTTATTTGTAGATAAATATTTGATCCATGATTGACAATGAAATAGTATTGAGAGTTAGATTTAAAATTAAAAGTCTCCTAATTAGCGTTTATCTCTCTTCACAAGTGGGCTGACATTTGTAGATGTCATTGAATCCTCTGACATCTTTAAGTGTCCCTGCCAAATTTAACAGACAATATTGTGACTCTTAAAGTAAGCATCCTTGATGGTTTAATGAGTCACCATCTT